AAAAATAAAAAATGGAGTTATTATTGGAGAGAAAATAAGAAACAAAAACATAAATATTTTAAAAGTAAAGAAGAAGCTATAGAATTTAAAGCAAAATATGATAAAATCACAGGAAACATAAATGTCTCAGATATGCTTAGAGTTTAGTTTAAACTGAGAGGTATCAAGTAGGCTATACTCATAATGAAGCACAACAAAATGTGAAATCATCGTAGGAGAGCAAAGTTGAGAAAATACGAAAATTAGGGAAATCAATATTATTTAGTACAAAATTTGATGCATCATGCAAATCAATTAGCCACAAAAATTGATACGAATCATAATTGAATATTAAAATTAACCCTAAACAAATTATCTATATTGTTACACATTCAATTTCTATACATTTAATATTTTTACATTCGAAAAATTCACCAAATAAATATTTTCTATCAACTTCCTTCAGCAGAAAACAAGATATTTTCAAATGAATCAAATTTTTCATCTTGTTCATGATCAACATATATTCATCATTATTGAAAAGACAATTGATCAATGTAAGAGATTTGATATTTTTAAATCTGAATATATCTTCTAAAAACAGGATTCTATGAATATCCTTTAACACAAGACTTGCAACATTTTCTAGATTTTTTAAATATTCTAATCCGAAATATGTTTTGTGTAAAAACAAATGGACAAAATGAGTTTTCATATATTCGTTCAAACTTTCGACTTTAGAAAATACATTATAAATATAAATTCTCTCTATTTAATTAGATGACTTAAATAATAATTCAGTTACAATATTAACCACGTGTCTATCACAAATTTTTGCGTTGAATACTTGCTTAATTTGAAAAGTGTTAATTTCCTTCACGTATTCGAGATATTTAAAAAGAATTGAATCGTGATCTTTTTTCGGAAACTTGCCCTCGTTAAAAAATAATTCCATATCAGACTTGTAACAGACAACCTTTCTCAGCGAATCAATCTTTTTATTTTCATAATATTTAAAAGGATTTTGCCAAAGTATAGGAATAGCAATTCTGGCCCAGTGCCTAGAAACCACAACACAGCTAAACAAAGTTTCTTCCGTCTCATACAGACAAGAAAATATCTTTATCAACAATTCAACCGGAATATTCATATTTGATTTTTTTTACGGTAAACTATCAGATTACCATAGTTATAATTGATGACTAATAACCCTAACCCTAAACACATCACATGAATAGACAAGGGACAATTTATTAATCGTAAGTTTAAATAGCTCCAAGACAAGTAGTTTCATGACAAAACTAATTATTGTTTGATCAGCATATTAATGATCAACCTATTACGTATAAATACTCTCATTCTAAACCTATGTCAATATCAATTTCAACATATTAGTGGGGTAAGGAAATTTATTTGTGTTTATATATTTATCATCGGGTGAATATAATTCACTAACCTTATGGTTCACACCCTTGGACGTATTCTGCTCACCCGCGGTCTACTTCAAGATAAATGCCAAAGGTTAAATTTGTAGGTTATTACGCTGTCCGTCTCGGTCATAAACCGGGTATTTACGTGTCTTGGGATGATTGTAAAAGACAAATTGATAAATACCCAAGTGCTGTTTATAAAAAATTTTACGCGTTGCAAGACGCCGAAAGATATATAAAACCTGATATTAATGTTCCAAATGAAGAAAAGATAGATATATATACTGACGGCTATTGCAAAAATAACGGAAAGCCAAATGCTATAGCAAGCCTTGGTGTATACTGGCCAAATAATGAATATACAAATTTATCTGAAAGACTACCCGGATTTAATCAAACAAATAATCGAGCAGAACTTTATGCTGTTATTCGCGCTCTTGAAACATGTGAAAAGGAAAGTAAATATCTAGAAATCAATACTGACAGTATGTACGTGATCAATTGCCGTGGATCCGTAAACCCTAAAGTAAACGTCAACCTTGTAAATTATCTCAATGAATTAATAAACGCTCGGAATAAAAAGGTAATTTTCAATCATGTAAAGGGACATAGCGGAATAGATGGTAATGAAATGGCCGATAAGTTAGCGTTACAAGGTGCCAGCAAACCACATGTACCAAAATTCGAGTTTAAATTATCGATAAATAAAAATATACAAGAATATTTAGACGACAAAGATTATGTAGACGACTCAAAAAACGCGACTAAATCTTATTTGTCAGAGTTTAACAACATCCTACAAGTACTCGAAACTAAAAATGACCAACTTGTAATAAAAACGAGAAACATAAATATATACCACATGTTAAAAAATAACATGATACAAAAGTGGTTAAATAATAATTGGTGTACGAAAAGGGATGGTAAAAAACTCAAAGCTCCCAAATACATATGTATAAAGATAAACGATGTAATAAATACAACAACTAACCCTATAGACCTTGTTTTTATCGATAAAAATGATACTATCAAACATCAGACTGTATTAAATAAATATTAACTAAAAGACCTGAGAATTTACTAATAAAAAATGACTATTTTAATAATGAATGATAACTCCAAGTCTATTGTATTTGACGATCGTGTTATCTCACATTAATTTTTAAATGTTATACGGAATTTCTCTTATGTTATTTAACTAAACCCTCTATTTTTTTTTTATTTTTCACCTTACGAATAATACTCGTTACAGGAGGAAAGCTATTTAAATATTTCCCTTTGGGATTTTTATCTAACCATCCATAATCGATTAATATACCTATCGCCTCTTCATTACCCTTATTAGCCGCCGAGATTAAATGATATTGAGCATCGTCTAATGATTTATCGACATTAAGCATTCCGTGTAAATAAACTCTTCCATATAAACATTCCTCTTCGCTATCATTGAATCCCGCAATAGCCAAATGTAAGCATTTTAGAGCCCTTCGATATGATGCTTTCTCTGACTCACTCATTTCCTCTGGTTTTCTAGATACTTCTGGATCGTCTCCTATCTTTTCAATAAGACATTTAACATAACTCGTAATACCTTTTTGATTTGATTGAATATACGTAGATAACATATAAAATATAAATGCTACTTCTTGATTTTGACTAACCCCGTGCCCTAGTTGATATAAACGTCCTAACCAATAATAATCTCTATTTTTTTTAAAATTTTTATAAGCTGAGCTATAATCTCTATTAATATACTTTCTAATTGCGACATGTCTCTCTTGTGGAGAAAACGATACTTCTTGAAAGCTGCCGTACTCATTTAATATACCAGGATAACGTTGTATAAAATTTGGATGATTTATTAAAAAAAATTTCCATCTTTCATGTATTTCCTTAGGTATAAGATCGTTATGTATAATAGAGTAATTCATATTTCTATTGATTAAAATATTACAAAATATTATTTGCATTAAATTTATACAGAAATATTCCTGTTTTAATAATAAATGCGAAATTATATTGTGATATTTTTTTATTAGATATTATTTTTTTTTAATTATTTATCAATTATCTTTATAACAATCAATTTCTATACATTTAATATTTTTACATTCGAAAAATTTGTCAAATAAATATTTTTTATCATTTTCCTTCAACTGAAAACAAGATATTTTCAAATGAATCAGATTTTTCATTCCGTTCATGATATATACGTAATGATCGTTATAGAAAGGAAAATGTAAGAGATTTGATATTCTTAAATCTGAGTACATCTTCTAATAATGTAATTCGTATAATATCCTTTATCACGAGACTTAAGAGATTTTCTGAAGTTTCTATGTATTCCAACCCCATGTATGATTGATGTAAAAATAAGTGAATTTTATGATTTTTCATATAATGGTTTAAATCAGATAGGTTACAAAATTGACCATGGATATAAATTCTTTTGATCAAATTAGACGATTTAAACAATAGTCTAATTACATTTTCTTCTACACGTTTGTTGAATATATCATAAGTCAATACTTTACCAATCTGAAACGTATTGACTTCATTCACGTATTTCGGGTAAGGAAAAAGCATCCGAGCACGATACTTTCTCAGAATATTATTGATATACGGATCTATGTATAGATCATGACATATAACCCTTATCAAAGAAATGATTTTAATATTTTTTTCGTGATACTTGAAGGGATTTCGCCAGAGTATTGGAATAGCAATACTAGCCCAGTACTAGGAAACCACAACACAACTAAACAAAGATTCTTCCATCTCATAGAGACAAGAAAATACCTTTATCATCAACTCAACTGGAATAAACATATTTGATTTTTTTTTTCAACGTAAATTACCATATTTATAACCGTAACCAATAACCCTAACCCTGAATTAACCCTAACCCTAATAACGATGATCATATTACGTTTTTTTTGTTCGGGAGCGAGTTTACTCGCGACAAAAAACTTTCAAGATTCGGGTGTGCTTTAGCACGCACGTATCGTAGTAAGTTTCCAACGCTTGGTTCTTCTTGAAGAACACCCGCGGTAGCGAATACGCTCCAAGGTGTGTGTGGGTTTATCGAAGGGTTTATCCGTAGATTTATAATTGTCATTGCTAAATAGCAATGACTTTGATTAAATATTTGAAACATAATATTGAATATCATATTACTATAAAAACTATTTAATAACAAGTTATGTATTTTTTATCATTAAAATGAAATCGAAGATCAATATTGCAAAGTTTCTTATTAATAAATCATTGATTGATATTAATGATGATAGGTTATACCTCGTCATCATCAAAGCTATGAAAAATATTTTAGAAATATGTGAATTCTATAAAAAAAATGATTATTATGATAAAATCGTTTCGAAATATACTAATTTGGTTAAAGGAATTAATGAAGCCAGAGACCCTAACAAATATGTGATTGTAACAGCTATGCGACTTTCTAAACATGACTTTAGACCAATACTATATTCGGATATGCCGTATTTGAAACGAGTGATAGAAAATCTTGAAGGATTATATGTAGAAATAAGTAAACAAGAAAATAATGCTATGAATAGATATAAAGCTCAATTGGATACAAAATGTGGAACGAAACCACTATCTAAATTTCAAATTTATATGGGAAAAGAGTTGAAGAAATATAAATTAGAAAATCCTAATGTTTCGCATAGGATTGCTTTTGGTATAGTTTCATCGTCATGGAAGGATTCTTCGGAAAATCCGAAAAGTTGTTTAACATAGTCTTTCTAGATATGTTTTATTTTGTTTTAAAAGTATTGAATTAAACTTGTTTATTTTAAAATAAATGTTTTATAGTTAGTATTATTAATAAAGAACTTCGATAAATGTTTATCAATTTTATAAAAAAAAATATAAGAGATAAACGATAATTTTTATTTTGATTAAAGTTTTTAAATAATTTTATAAAAAAAATGTTACGTTTAGTATTAAGTGAGACTCCAGATGAATTCTCTAAAATTAATTATTATAAAAGTGAAAACTTTATTGTTTTGACGGGAGAACGAAATGGATTAAAAAATAATAAAAGTTATAGTTATGGTAATATGTTTGTTATAACGATAGAGTACTTATTAAATAATATTAATACTATTTTTTTTTATTAAAGAATCCGAAGATGTAATTAGTGTTAAATCTTACAATATAGGAGATGAAGAGTATCGGTTTTTAATTTTATGTGACGGACACGGAGGTATGTATATTTAATTTTGTGTTATAAGAATTTTATTAAATTTTATAACATCTAAATGTAGCTAATGGAGCTCGTGAATCTGCTGATATATGTTCAAAAATGTTACCCACGTTTATAATTAAAGAGTATTCTATATGTAAAAATATTAAACAATCTATAAAGAAAGGGTTTGAATATATGGATATTCATTTAAAATTAAACTGCCTTAACCAATTCGATAATTCTGGGACTACGGCTACTTTAGCGGTATTAACTTCATCAGATGAAATATATATTGTATGTATACCAGGAATGGAGTATGAAATACGAAGTGTATGGTTTACGAAAGAGTTAAGTGTGTGTCTCTTTTGTATCTGAT